AGGCCTAAGCCAGCAGGTTGTTATCTCCCGAGGGGTCCCAGACTGCGAGAGGGCACAGGCCGGGCTGAGGGGCCCCCTCTCTCCCCCGAGTGCACAAATTTTTGTGCACCGGGCCTCTAGTTCTATATAATAAAAGCCTAATATGCTGTGTCTAGTCATCCGTTCAACCAATCAAAGTGTAATCTGCTAATGATATGCTAAGGCCGCTCAACTGCTTGCTATGACATGCACCTGACCACCAGGGGGCAGACAGTTGACTAGTCACTGTGACATGCACTGACCACCAGGGGGCAGACTCTACAACTGGTAGGTTAGCTTGCTGCTGGGGTCCGGCCAATCTGGACTGAGCAAGATGGGCCCGACACGCCCTGGAGCCCTCCCTCGTTCCCTACCCAGCTGGCCAACCTCCCAGGCCCCGATTGTGCACTGGTGGGGTCCCTCGGCCTCGCCTGCACCCTCTCACATTCTGGGACCCCTTGGGGAATGTCAGAGAGCCAGTTTCAGCCTGATTCCGCTCAATGCAGGAGCTGTCCCCTGGTGGTCAGTGTGCTCCCACAGGGGGAGCGCTGCTCAGCCAGAAGCCAGGCTCACGGCTGGCAAGCTCAGTGGCGGTGGTGGGAGCCTCTCCTGCCTCCGTGGCAGTGCTAAGGATGTCTTACTGCTGGCTTAGGCCCGTTCCCTGTGGGGAGCGGACCTAAACCTTCAGTCGGACATTCCCCAAGGGCTCCGGATTTCGAGAGAGCGCAGGCGGGCCTGAGGGACCCCCACCCCAAGGGCACGAATTTCGTGCACCGGGCCTCTAGTAATGTTATAACAAAACTAGTTAGTGGCTTAATTTCTACAGTAATGTGTGTTTCAGAATCTTCTCCCTCTGCACCCCCCCCCCCAAATCTTTACTATCTTAAATTCGTGGTTTTAGAAGTGATCACTATCTACGTCCAAACAATTGAATCATCTCGCTAAAGGTTAAGTAAATTCCCATTATATCAGGCCACAGAAATAGATCTCCCAAAATCAACAAAGCTTAATGACTTCTTAGTCACATAGAAAAATACATGTTAATTCATTTATGCACTCTGGACATGTAAGTAATTTGGTCTCGAAGATGCTTGCTGGAGGAGAGAGAGGATTTTAGTAAATGATATGATGGAAATATATGCACTGTACTTTGGGAACATACAATAGGGACATTCCTTGAGACCTAAAGGAAGCTAGATAGAATTAATGAAAATTTTAAAGAAGTTCGATGTCTAAGCAGTTTTGGGGAATGGTTCCAGGTGATGACAATAGTATGAACTGTGGCAAGGACGCATGAGGCAGCATGGTGTGTTTGGAAAACTGCAGGTAGTTCAGAATTGCTGACAGGTGAGGAGATGAAGCTGGAGCCAGACCATGGAGGCCCTTATGTGGCTTCTAAGGAGCTTGGAATCTTGTCTCTTACGTGGACACTGGTGGTTATTTGAGATGTGAATAAGTTCAGTTGTCAAATAAGATCCATAAATTTCTGCATAGCATAGTCCTCACTTGGGCATTCACAATTCATGTCTGTATGCTATAGACTCCCAGAAGACTGAAGGTAAAGGAATCTGCCTAACTTGATTTTCTCTGTTTCCCAAACTTAACTAAGTAGAATTTTTTTAAAAAATTAATTCCTAGTATCTTCCCAGAGAACTGTTTTAGGTAATGAACCATTGAATGATCTGCAAAAATAGTTCTTTTATTGATATATTTTTACTTAGCATACTTCCCACAATGTATCCCAATAAAACTCATTAAAATAGAGAATTGAATTTACCCTCTTGCATATCTGCAAAAATAAGAAACTTGAGAAACAGATGATACCAATGAGTGAATATGAATGGCACATGTTCTTATTTGGAGATTTAACTCCTCCAGGAATTTTGAGGTTTACTCCTTAAACAATGTAGTTGTTACTAAGTAGAATGAATAGAATGACTCACCCAAAACAGTTAAAATTCAGAACTTTTTTCTTTAATTATATCTTTTTCAGACCCATTAAAAAGTTCAGAGACTTATAATGAACACTAACCCACCATCTTAATAAGTAAACATTAAAAGACCACTGTGTGGGATGAATAGAGCACAGAGGTTTTTTTAGAGCATGAAACTATTCTATATACCACAATGTTGAATACATGTCATTATACATTTTCAACACCAAGAGTGAATCCTAATGTAAACTATTTACTTTGAGTGATAATAATGTGTCAATGTAGGTTAATTGATTGTAACAAATGTACCACTGTGGTTCAGGTATGTTGATAGAAGGGGGATTGTGGGTATGTGGGGACGAGAGGTATAATGGAACTCTGTGATTTCTGCCTAATTTTGCTACGAGCCCAAAACTGCTATAAAAAAAATTAAGGTTATTGATTAAATTTTTAAAAAGGGGGACCACTGTGTATCTTGCTCAAATTGCATTCTTCTCCCTCTAAAGTTAACCACTGCCTTGAACTTGGTATTTATTCTTCTTATACATTTCTTTGTAGTTTTATTTCTTCTGTATATATCCCAAAAGGAAGTATCATTTTGCATATTTTTAAAGTTTGTATAAATAGCTTTATCCTACTGACCTTTTTTGTGTACATTATATTTGTAGAATTTATCCATGTTCATAAATGTAACTCTAGTGTATTCATTCATTTTCTTTTTTTTAAAATAAAATTAAATCTTTATTGTTCAGATTATTACATTAGTTACTCTTTTTCCTCACCATAACTCCCCTCACCCAGTTCCCACCCCACCCTCCGCCCTCACTCCCCACACACTGTCCTCATCCATAGGTGCATGATTATTGTCCAGTCTCTTCCAGCACGCCCCACAACCCTTCCCCCCCCAAGAATAGTCAGACCATTCCCTTTCTATGTCCCTGATTCTATTATAATCACCAGTTCATACTGTTCATCAGATTATTTATTCACTTGATTTTTAGATTCACTTGTTGATAGATGTGTATTTGTTGTTCATAATTTGTATCTTTACCTTTTTCTTCTTCTTCTTAAAGGATACCTTTCAGCATTTCATCTAATATTGGTTTGGTGGTAATGAACTCTTTTAGCTTTTTCTTATCTGTGAAGCTCTTTATCTGACCTTCACTTCTGAATGAGAGCTTTGCTGGATAAAGTAATCTTGGTTGTAGGATCTTGCTATTCATCACTTTGAATATTTCTTGCCACTCCCTTCTGGCCTATAAAGTTTCTGTTGAGAAATCAGCTGACAATCTTATGGGTACTCCCTTGTAGGTAACTGACTTTCTTTCTCTTGCTGCTTTTAGGATACTCTCTTTGTCTTTTGCTCTTGGCATTTTAATTATGATGTGTCTTGGTGTGGTCCTCTTTGGATTTCTTTTGTTTGGGGTTCTCTGCACTTCCTGGACTTCTAAGTCTATTTCTTTCACCAGGTAGGGGAAGTTTTCTGTCATTATTTCTTCAAATAGGTTTTCAATATCTTGCTCTCTCTCTTCTTCTGGCACCCCTATAATTCGGAAGTTGGTATGCTTGAAGTTGTCCCAGAGGCTCCTTACACTATCTTCGTATTTTTGGATTCTTTTTTCATTTTGCTTTTCCGGTTGGGTGTTTTTTTGATTCTTCGTATTTCAAATCTTTGACTTGATTCTTGCAATCCTCTGGTCTGCTGTTGGGAGTCTGTATAATATTCTTTATTTCAGTCAGTGTATGCTTAATTTCTATTTGGTTCTTTATCACAACATCGAGGGTCTCATTAGATTTCTTGAGGATCTCAGTACATTTATCAGCGGTTTCTAGAAAATTCTTGAAAAACCTATAAAGTGTGGTTTTGAACTCTATATAAGATAGTTTGCTTTCCTCCATTTCTGTCATTTGTGTCCTATTTCTTTGTCTCGGCATTTTTTATGCTTCGCTGAGTCGATAGAGTGGCTTTCTGTGCTAAGTGTCCCAATTACCTGAGGTAGACACTCTTGGTACACCCCCTTGTCGGCTTTGTGCACAGTCTTGGTCTAGTTAAGCCTTGATTGTTGTAGATAAAACTGGGAGGATTTGACCTCCAGGCCAATTGGCTGTGAGAATCAGCTGTAAAGCAATGCAAGTTGCCCTGGGGCCTTGGGGCAGCTGCAGTTTGTTAAGTTATTTTCAGATTACAAAGGGCCGGGCCTTTCATATGCAAAATCCTACGTGCATGGCTTGGGAGGGGCGGGGTCCCAGGGGATCAACAGGGCAGGCTGAGTGAGCCAGCAGTATGGCTGCTCTCAGTCCTGCCTTCAGAGGTCCTGGCAATCACTAAGAGTGCCTCTGAGAGAAAGCTGCCCTCAAGTTCCGACTGATGCCAGACCTTCCCGTTTCTCTCGTATGAGTCTGGGTCCCCAGAGACTCGCCCGGAACTGGAGCTCAGAGCCTGAGACTCCCTCCCGGTTGAAAAAGACAATCGTATCCTCAGCCGCCAGCCCTCTCCGCATGCACCTCCGCACCTTTCTATTTACTTCAGCACCGCACCTCCTCTGAGTCTCGGTATGCTTTTCTCTTTCCTTCTAGTTGTAGAAATTCCACTCAGCCAGCCTTCCTGTGGTTCCGTCGTTTAGTTGTATTTTTGAAGTGGTTGTTCGAGGCAGCAATCTCTGGTGTTTACCTATGCCGCCATCTTGGTTCTCCTCATTTTCTGATGTATAGTATTTTGTCATGAGTATGGTTAGGTTGTTCCCTTTTTTCTTTTGACATCACACTCATTTCTAAGAGTCTCTTTCATTTGGGTAAGCGTTTTTCTAGAGCACATAGGTAGGCATGAAATTGCTAGGTATACATGTCTTCAGCTTTATTAGATACTGCCAAATAGCTCTCAAAAGTACTTGGGTCAATTTACTGGCCGTGGATAAGATTTCCTCTTAATACATTGTCTAAACTAGATTTTAACCTTCATATATTTATGGGAAATAGAAAGAGTAAAAACAAGCTAGAGATTGTGCCACTTAACATGGATTAACCTTGGATTTTATTTTGTCTTTATAGATCTTGGAGAAATTCATTCAAGGCTATTAGATCACAGACCTGTTATTCAGGGTGAAACCCGTTATTTTGTGAAAGAATTTGAAGTGAGTATTTAAAATTTATTTTGTAAAAATAGTGCCCCAATTATTAGTGATTTTCATATATGGAAGGGACATTCTCTAGTTTTAAAATTTCTGATTTCTGTTCATGGTTCATAAAATCTACAAAGTTTTAATAGTAATAGTAAAAACTCTAAGAGTTATTACTATTAATGTAAGGAGCACAAGACTAGGCGGTAGGTGAGTTGGGCTCAAGTTCTGTGACCTACTCTGGCATATTTAATGTCTGTTGATCTCAGTTTTTTTCATCTATGCAGTGAGATATAGTGAAAAAAAGGTTTTAAAGACTGATTGGTCTAGATTTTCCAGGCCCATTTTTCATATTTTTTTCTCAGTTGGGGCATCAGCACCCACCCAAAGCACTCAAGTTAAGACATGAGAATTATCCTTAGCTATTCTCTCACCTTTAGGGCCTGTATTTAGTGAACACATCTTCTGGATGCTACCTCATAAATTTCTAACCCTTCTGACTTGTGTGCCTGCTTTATCAACCCAGTAAAATCCAATCTTTACCCTCTTGCCAGAGTGCTCTGACATAACCCTTTTATAATGTTTGTCATCTATAGGATAAAGTCAGGCATTATTCTGTGACCTGTTCCCTACTTTTCTGGCTTAACCATCTGCCACCCCACCTTGTGTGCTATGTTCCAGCAATACTAATACATCAACCTGCCATCCTATTTCATATTACTACTAGGGTCCCGGTGCACAAAATTCGTGCAGGGGAGGGGGCAAGTCTCTCAGCCCAGTCTGTGCCCTCTCCAATCTGGGACCCCTCCCCTCTCACAATTCAGGCTCCCAACAACTTGCCTGCCTGCCTGCATGATTGCCCCTTACCGCTTCTGCCTGCCAGCCTGATCACCCCCTAACCACTCCCCTGCCAGCCTGATCGACGCCTAACTGCTCCCCTGCTGGCCCAATTGTCCCTCACTGCCCTCCCCTGCCGGCCCGATTGCCTCTAACTGCCCTCCCCTGCTGGCCTGGTCACCCCTAACTGCCCTCCCCTGCCAGCCTGATTGCCCCTAACTATCCTCCCCTGCAGGCCTGGTTGTCCCCATCTGCCCTCCCCTGAAGGCCTGGTCCCTCCCAACTGCCCTCCCCTACCAGCCATCTTGTATGTTGGAGTAATGGTCAATTTGCATATTACCACTTTATTAGATAGGATTGGTTTGTACATATATAATTGGTTCATTGTGCATTAAATTAACATCTCAAGCTACTTTTAAATAGATGGTAAATGGTGTTACACAAACAATTTTGTGATTCTGGGTAAGTTGAGGTTTATTTTCAAATGAGACTCCAACCGAGCAGGAAGTCTAAACCTGCCAAAGGAGAAAACCTTTTCATAAACCATTTATCACTACAAAAAGCCTGTGGTACAGAGCAATAACAATTGAGAGACAGCCCTGCAGCATTAGATACCATTTCTGAGTTCAATAGACTCTATTACTCAAAATCTGCATATATCTACCTCAAAGAGTTGTTGTGAAGATTAAAGGGGTGTGTATGTGCAAGCACGCACATGTCTGTATGTGTGTGTTTTGGAATACTGTCCAGTATCTAGGCATAGCTGTTAGCTATCTTCATCATTATTGTTGTAGGATAACAATAATGTGGAAAACTCAGAAAATTACCCAGAGATTATTACCTTATCATCCTATCTAATAAAGAGGTAATATGCAAATTGGCCATCACTCCAACACAAGGTGGCCACCCCCATGTGGTCAAAGATGGCCGCCACAAGATGGCCAGCAGGGGAGGGCAGTTGGGGGCAATCAGGCCAGCAGGGGAGAGCAGTTGGGGGAGACCCAGGCCTGCAGGGGAGGGCAGTTGGGGGGAACCAGCCCTGCAGGGGAGGGCAGTTGGGGGCGACCAGGCCTGCAGGAGAGGGCATTTAGGGGCAATCGGGCTGGCAGGGGAGCAGTTAGGTGTCGATCAGGCTGGCAGGGGAGTGATTAGGGGGTGATCAGGCTGGCAGGCAGAAGCGGTTAGGGGCAATCAGGCCTAGATTGTGAGAGGGATCTCAGATTGGAGAGGGTGCAAGCTGGGCTGAGGGACACCCTGCCCCCTCCATGCACAAATTTTGTTCACTGGGCCTCTAGTACCATATAAATATTATTACCAATTCTGTAGTGAGATTAAATAAGAATAAAGTAGTGAGAGTAAAGCATGCGTGTGTTCTCTACTTAGTCTCTCAAAGCTGTGATCAAGGTGTTGGCCAGACTTTGTTCTTATTTGGTGTTCTGGGTTCTCTTCCTAATTCACATGATTGTGGCAGGACTCACTTCTCTGTTATGGTGGAATGAGGTTTCCCTGCTTGCTCTCAGCCAGGGGCCCCTCTGAGCTACTAGAAGCCACTCACATTCCTTGCCACTTGGCCCCTTCCATCTTCAAAGCTGTCAATGGAATCTTCATCACATGGAATCCCTGTCGTGCTTGCCAAGAGGAGTCCAGTCCCTATTAAAGACTCGCCTGATTTAAGTCAGGCCCATTGAGGATAACTTCCCAAGTCAACTGATTGGGACCTAAAATATATCTGCAGAGTATCTTCAAAGCAGCACCTAGACTAGGTTTTGTGTGCATAACTGAGAGAAGGTGTATGTACACTAGGGGTGGGGTCTCAGGGGCTATCTTAGAATTCTGCCTACTGTAAACTCTCATAAATACGTGATAGTTTTCTTGTTATCTACTTGCTTATTACCTGTCTGCCTTCATTAGAGTATAGGCACGATGAGAATAAGGACCTATTGCTTTTATTTTCTGTTGTATTCAAAATGCCTAAAATAATGCCTGCTGCATTATAGATGCTGAATATGATTCAAAAGAACAGGTAGCAGAACTTGGACTAAAACTTGGTTTTCAACATTCAGCCTTTTTTTGGCAGTATGGTTAAATACTAAATAGTTATTTAAAAAATTTTAGATATACCTCTAAAGATATACTTTATATGTATATTTTTAATATTTTTTTGTTGATTTTAGAGAGAGGAAGGGAGAGAGAAAGAAATACCTATTTGTTGTTCCACTTATTTATGCATTCATTGGTTGCTTCTTGTATGTGCCCTGACTGATGATCAAACCTGAAACCTTAGTCTATTGGTAACTGGCTGAACTATCCAGCCAGAGAGATCTACTTTATACTAAAAGAAGCATAGACTTTTGGCATAATGGTGAATTCTCTAATTCAGTTCCATCACTGGCTGAATTATCCCTAGAATACAGGTGTCATACTTTAAATAATGTAGATGTTTTCTATGAAATGAGTCTTGGATGGAGACGAAAGTGTTACATTTATGCTGCTGAGTATGCTGTATTCAGGAGCTCACTTCCTGTTGAAGCCAATACCTCTTTTAACTAGGATGGAACATAGTTGCCAGGAGCATGTCTGAAAGGAGAGGAATTATAGTCGGTCCTCTGTATCCGTGGGTTCTGCATCTGCACATTGAAAATATTCAGGAAAAAAGTTAAGTTGTTGGTGTGTATTATATAGTTAGGCCTATGATGGTTGTGTCTGTATTGAATATGTACAGACTTTTTTTCTTGTCATTATTCCCTAAACAATGCAGTATAACAACTATTTATAAAGCACTTACATTGTGTTATGTATTTATTATAAGTAATCCAGAGATGGTATAAAGTATATGGGAGGATGTCCTTAAGTTATTAGGTTATATGCAAATACTATGCCATTTCATGGAAGGAACTTGAGCGTTCTTGGATTTTGGTATCTGCAGGGGTTCCTGGAACCAGTCCTTCACTATACCAAGAACAGCTGTACCTACACTTTGCATTGTTAAGCCCTCTAAGATCTTTTTGGAGAAGAAGCTGTGTTAAAGAGTAGAAAAAACATGGGACTTGGAGCTTAACATAGCTAAGATGTGGAAACAGCCCAAGTGCTCATCAGTAGATGAGTAGATAAAAAAGCTGTGGTACATGTACACCATAGAATACTTTGTAGCTATTAAAAAGATGGATCTCTTACACTTTGAAACAGCATAGCGAGACCTGGAGAATGTTATGCTAAGCAAGATAATCCAGTCAGAGAAAGAAAGTATCACATGATCTCTCATTCATGTGGAATCTAATGAACAAAACAAACCGATCAACAAAATAGATCCAGAGACATAGAAGCATAGAACAGACTGATGAATCTCAGAGGGAAGGTGGGTAGGGAGAGATTAACCAAAGAACTTATACGTATACTAGAGGCCCGGTGCACAAAAATTTGTGCACTCGGGGGGGAGGGGAGGGTCCTTGAGCCCGGCCTGTGCCCTCTCGAAGTCTGGGACCCCTTGGGAGATAACGACCTGCTGGCTTAGGCCTGCTCCCGGGTGGCAGAGGACAGGCCCAATCCCTAGGTGCAGCCCCTGGTCGGGCTCAGAGCAGGGCTGATTGGGGAGTTGGGGCGCCGCCCCCTGTCATGCACAGAGCATGGCGGATCGGGAGGTTGCGATGCCACCCTCAGTCACACTCAGGGTAGGGCCGATTGGGGGGTTGGGGCACCGCCCCCTGTCACACTCAAGGCAGGTCGATGGGGAGGTTGCGGCGCCACCCCCTGTCACGCACAGAGCAGGGCCAATCGGGGTTGGGGCGCTGCCCCCGGTCACGCACAGAGCAGGGCCCATCAGGGGTGTTGGGGCTCCGTACCCTGTCACGCACAGAGCAGGGCCCATCAGGGGGTTGGGAGCTCCCCCCTGTCACACACAGAGCAGGGTGGATCAGGGGGTGAGGGCGCCGCCCTCTATCACCCACAGAGCAGGACCGATCAGGGGGTTGGGGCACCGCCACTCTCACACTCAGGGCAGGGCCGATGGGGAGGTTATGGCTCTACCCCATCACACACAGAGCAGGGCCCGTGGGGTGGGGGTTGGGGCGCCGCCTTCTATCACCCACAGAGCAGGGCCGATCAGGGGGTTGGGGCGCCGCCACTCTCACATTCAGGGCAGGCCGATGGGGAGGTTATGGCTCTACTCCGTCACACACAGA